TCAATGGTTAGTTAATAAAATTTAATACACAAAATAATTAAATATAATACATTTAAGGCTTAATTTTGAGTTATCCAACTATCGTGTTTATTTTATTTTAATTCCTTAGTGTTTAATTACATAGTTTTAGTCTATTTATGTTCTTAATTCAGCAAAATATTATCATTCCATTAAGTTATCATCTAACTTTTAACAAAATTATACAATCTTTCTCTTTTTTCTCTCTCTCTTGCCACTACATCGCTCTAGTCCTCTTTTTCGTAATTATTTTGATTTTCTTCTAAGTTACCTCTTCTCACCTCTCCTCTTCGTCCTTAAATATAAAAACTTTGAGTATGAATTTGAGCGTTTTTTTTTTTTTTTTAAAGAAGGTGCACCTACTTATATAAGTTTGTAATGAAATTTTGACTTATTTTAAAAGAGGAAATGAGTATTAATAGAGTTCTCTTGTTGGACACCACGTTCGTGGTGACTCAATAGACAAGCACTATTTCTATTGGTGCCTCTATATCGAAGTTCATTCCTCTCACAAAAGAAAGCTACTTTTATTGCAATAGTGATGTGCAAGTGAACAAAGTGAAAATCATAGGACACTTACCCTTTGGCAAGAGCATATGTAATAGAATTAACCAATTCTTGAAAGATAAGTCTAGCTTTTGCCATTGGGTCTTCAACATTTATTTAGGAAATATAAAAAAAAGAAGAATTCGAGAGTGTGAAAGAAAAGTCAGATTCACTTCATGACAAAGCTAAAATAGATCTACACCACAAAAAATTAAGGGATGTAGAATTTGAAGAAGAAGATATGGTAGAGTTCTAATAAGGGTGAGAAGAAGAAGAAATCTATAAATCAATAGCAAAGTTTAGCGAGAGAGAGAGAGGAGGAGGAAAATAATTTACTAATAATAATAATAAACTAAAGTCTTAAAAAAAGGAATAACAAGACATACAATTTCATTAATTAAAAATTAGATGATAACTTAATAAAATGATAAAATTTATCAAATTAATAAATTAAATGAACTAAAATTGCAGAATGAAAAATTAAATGACTAAATTTGAATAAACACAGTAATTGAAAGAAAAAAAATTGCAATTAAACTTAGATTTAGTAATATGCATTTCTACAATAACTTATACTACACACAGGAAGAGATATACCGGTGAAGACTGAAAATATTTAATAAATCAAAATATTTTAGTATAAAAAGTAAAGAATATTTAAATCATCAATCTTATAAGAATTTTGTTAGGTTGATATTGGTCATTGAAAAAATAAAGTTATTAAACATTTTTTAATTTTTTTAGAAAGATTAATTCCTCTACATAAATATTTATATTTAATTTAACAAAATGTTTTTTATAGACCATTAGTTAGTTGAAATGATGTATGTAAATTTCATTCTCAAGTTTCTTTTTTTTAATCAAGTTAGTCTTGTAAAAATATCAATATCAATTTAAATATTTTTAAATATTGGAGTTAACTTGACTAAAATATATATTTTTAAATCTTGTTTTTATTAAATGAAAATTTATGATATGTTATCAATTATTTAATAGGTCATACAAACAAATGTATTACATACAATTGCATTTCAACAAAGGAACTAACGTCCCTTATAAAAAAAAGTTTTTAAATTATTTACTAACCATTATATTTTTAACAACTAATGCGCTGTTTAGATGATGAATAAAATAGAGAAATAAAATAAGAAGAATATCAATAAAAAAAAAGAATAAAGTATTATTCAAATAAATGGAAATTGAGAAAACGAGTAAATGAATAATAAAATATAAAAATAAATTCACGATGATTAAAATAACAAATTTAACTTAAAATTAAAATTTTTATTATATATTATTTATCTTAATATAAAATTATTTTATTATTTTTGTTATTGTTAAAACAATTAAATAAAAAAAATTATAGCAGTTTTTATGCGTTTTTCATGGAGTGAATATTGAAATATTTCCGTGTTTTAGGACTTATTGAAATAAAAACATTTAAAGTCTCAGTTTTACTCAAATCAAACAAAGGAAATGTATAATGTTGAAGAATTTCATACCTTATTATTTAATTTCTATCTATCTAGTTTTTGTAACAATCATTTGGAGTTTTCATTGAAGGATGATTTTAAATTATTATTTGACTACCTTTTGATCTTTTAAATCGGAGTGACACCTATGTTATACGAGGACCCGAGTGTCCCTGTGTTCTTAACTTATGTTCTCGTTTTTTTGTCTTGAGACAGTACTTTTCTCTCACTCTCTTTCTTCAAAATTTCACAGGTTTTCACGGGATCTCCAACATTATAAAATATAAAAATAAAAGCAGTTGATAATTTAAACAACAAAAAAATAATACATTAAGGAAATGGGTAAAAATATATTTACATTTACATGTATTCCAAGAACAACCATAACATAAAATACAACATAATCATAAATACATATTCTTTTGCTCGTGCGACATATATTAATTCCAATTGAAGAGATGTTGCCCAATCTTCATTCATTATATCGCTCCCACATACATCCAAGTGAATACCAACACAATATTATTTTCTTGGGAACAGCAAACAGAAAACAACGATACTAATCATATTATTATACAGGCAATTAGAAATTAGTTAAGAACTTGCTGCATTTTAAAAGTCAGGTCCCATTGGCGTTGTACATAACATGATTGAGATATACTTCTCAACAACCATTACAATGACTCAAACAATGGTGTGGATGTTGGAGAACATGTAAAGGAAATATAGTGTATCTATGTGAATCATTTCATGAGTTGAATACACTGTAATGGGTGGTAAGATAGAGTAAAGGGTATTCTGGGCATAGAAGAACCTTGCCCTTGCCCTTGCCCTTGCCCTTGCCCTTGCCCTGCTAAGTACAAGGTTAGATGAGCTGGGGAAAAGGGGTGACAAGGAAACGATGGTGGCTTGAACAGTGCCTCTCAATTATAAAGAGAATAACAACAATTTATGGGTCGTATCTGACCGTTGACTAATTCCTCATCCACGGTCGTTCATTCTCTCCATAAATAATAATCAATAATACACTTTTTTGGATCAATTCAACCGTAGAACAGTGTGGATCCCTTTCCAGTGGGTGCTTTTTAAGAGTTTACGGGTCAAAAATAATGGGATATGTGTTACAGTCCATGCAAGTTTTGGGCATTTGCTTCAACGTTTTTTATTATACCTTTAAATCACATCTAAATTTGACTCAGTAACACATGTGTGAGCACTATAAGTTGGCACTAAATAACTACTACATTCATAAATTAGTATTCTGAAAAATACGTCTACCTTAAGTTTGAACTGAATATGACACAGTTGACCCTGAGTCATTGATGTCAAGGTGTAGGTAATTGTCACAGTTGAAATCAATAGATTAAAAACACGATTTTATTGACATTGATTCTCTGATCAATCTTATAATAATTTTAATCAAATATAAACGTTTAATATATTTTATATATAATAAATGTTTTGAAAAATTTTAATTGTTTAAAATCAACTGTAAAGGATGGTGTTTTCTTAAAAGTATGTTTTAGTTAAATTGTAAGCAAATGACGTGATTACATTTTCTTAAAATTGTGCGGATAAGTTTTCGCATTTCAGACCATACTAATTGCTCACTTCCTGCATCTTTACTCTTTAGGACCATACTAATAAATTTTCTGTATAATTTTCGAGTTTTTCCAAATTTAAGAAAATTTCAAAATAAATGAAATAACAATAAAATCACGTACTAATAAATATCTTTATTATTGATGATAAGATTTAATTATATTAAGCATGAATAAATAAAAACAATAAAACATTTAAATAAAAATAAAACTTATAAGAATTTTTTTTAAATTTTTTAAAAATGATACTAACTAAATTAGATATTAATATTTGAGATCAATAAAAAATACAAAATATGAAATACTTAATAAAAAGTAACCTTTTAAAGAAAAATAAATCTTAAAATTTTTCTTGTTCGACCCTAAATATTTAAATTTATAGTGTTAGAGTAAATTATGGTATATTTGTTTCTAATCCAACTTAATTAGTAGGGTACTTTTTTATTACTATAATTAAGTGCAGTAGATTAGAACACCCAGCCTTTATATGCATCTGATAAATTAATGAAAATTAATTTCGCGAACGTTCTTCAAAATTCTAACTTTAATGATTGACATGGCACATTTACTTAACGACTCCATTAACAATACAAAACAGAAAGTGAACTCATTTTTTTATAATTAGATGTGTTTCTTATGAGTCGTGTTAGTAGAAAGTGAGTTCATATTTTTAATAAAACTCATATTTTTTAACGTTAAATATATTTTAATAACTATTTTGTTCGAATTATAGATATTATCGAAAAGTGAATTAGAATAGATTGTGTAACACACTAAGAAGAGGGAAAAGAAGATTTTCTTTCCTCAAATGCAACATCACATAGGAAGAATATACAGTCACATGTAAACCATGTTAACGATACGTTATACTTTTCACAATCAAAACCAGATTTTAGGAAAAAAAATTATACAAAATTGTTGTATAATTAACATTTCTCAATCAAAATTAGATTTTATTGGAATTTAAATTTAAAGCTTTCACAAAACCAATAATTAAATTTCATATTAAATAATTTAAAAATATATAGTGAGTATTAACTACGGGGTCAGAGAGTTATAAAAGCTACACGTATTGTCATTTTGAATTTTTATTTTTTTATTTAAAATTTTGAGAATTACATTAGCACAAGAACAAGACACAGAGAGAGAGAGAGAGAGAGAGAGAGAGAGAGAGAGAGAGAGGATGTGTTGCGCACACACAAAACACCCCTCTCTGCGCAGTGTTTCTCCAAATCTCGTTTCTTGGGCCGTAACTATCACCAATATCGATGAATCTCTTCTCTTTTCCTGTTTTACCCTTTACCACTTCTTTTTCATTTTTTATTATACATTGAAAACGGGTTTTTTTCTCTTTTTTTCACTCAACACATTCACGCACATATATATTCCTCTTTGTATTTTCGGTTTTGCTCATTCTGTTCTCTCCTTCCTCTGGTTCCAACACTTGGGTGCTGCTTCCTTCTGCACCCACTCTTCAACTTTCGATATACAATCTTCTTCAGATCATCAACACACCCCATGTAAGCATATACTTCGTTGTTCCTTCTAAAGTTCTCTCCTTCCAATACTTCCTCTCTCTGTTGATTCGTTTTGTCTTCACTGGTTTTTATGTGCTTTCCACACACCTTTTTTTTTCTTTTTTCTTCTATGTCGGTTCATTTTGAATTTTTCTGGTTTTATGTTTATTTATTTTTCTTATTTTGTGGTTTTTTTTTATGGCGGTTTATATTTTACATTCTCAATTGTGGAATGCTTGTTCCGTTTTTAAGACCAGATTAAATGGGTATGGATTGGGATCTATGTTGGATCTCTCGGTGTCTGTTTTGTTCTTATTAAATTATTATTATCCTTGTTGTGTGGTTTAGTGAAATGTTTATACTATTGGCTAATATTGGTTTCTGTGCTGCCTTTTTTTTTTTGGGTATATTTTAATGTGTAGTTTCATGATCCGGGTGGCTTCGTCTGTAGAGAAAAAAATTTGGATTTTGAGACTTTCCCAGGGCTTAAAATGTTGCTTCTTTGAGGGAGGTTTCATGGGTTGAACTAGAAGAATCATGGGTAGCTTCAGTGGAGACGAAGAATGTCGGTTTTTTGATGCTCAAGAGGATGTTGGGTCCATTACTGATGATGAAGGGGTATCCAAGGGTTTTGATTATGAAGTGTGGGTTCGGAGCCCGAGGAGTGTGAGAGAGCGTAGGAGCAAGTTTATGGAGAGGATGGGACTGAGTATGGATTGGATTGCCCTTGAAAATTCAGTGGATGCGTGTAGTGTTGAGTGTGAAGAGTTGATGGATAGAGTTAAACTAGAAGATGCTAGTGGTGCTGTGACCCGAACTTCTGTTTTTGAAGAGCAGTTTTGTTCAAGCCGGTCAATGTCTTGTTGGCATAGTGGGAATTCTTCAGAGGAGGGTTCAGTGGATGACTTGCCGTGTCAAGATGGGGATTTGGAGGGTAATGTGGATCAGGAGGGGAAACAGTGTAGGAAGATGAATGATGGAAGAGATCTGGATTCAGATCAGTTCGTGGTTGCGCGGGAACCTGAGGATTCTGAGAATGCCTCTGGGGTGTCTCCTTGTTTCCAAGGTAGAGAGGATAGGGAGAAGGATGTTGATGCTTTTGCCAGGAGGACGAATAGGGATAGAAAAGGTTGGTTCAGAAGATTGCGGTCGATGACGTGCATGATTGATAGGCAAGGGGAAGGTGATAATGGGAGAAGTGAAGGCAGTGGAGCAATGTCAGGGTCTAGGCTTCAGAAAGTTAAGGTCCGTCAGTCTAGGAAGCATATGAAAGAACTTTCGGCTCTTTACATGAGGCAAGATATCCAAGCGCATGAAGGTTCAATTTTGACCATGAAATTCAGTCCTGATGGGCAGTATCTTGCGAGCGGTGGTGAAGATGGGGTTGTGCGCTTGTGGCAAGTGGTTGAGGAGGATAGATGTAATGAAATTGACATTCCAGAAATTGATCCATCCTGCATTTACTTTACAGTGAATAATCTCTCTGAATTGACACCCCTGTTTATGGATAAGGAAAAAATTAGCAAACTGAAGAGTCTGAAAAAAACATCAGATTCAGCTTGTGTTGTTTTCCCCCCTAAAATCTTCCGGTTGTTGGAGAAACCATTGCATGAGTTTTGTGGGCATAGAGGTGAAGTTTTGGATCTCTCTTGGTCAAAGAATAATGTGAGTGAATGTCATTAATTCAGTTATTTAATGAACTAAGCATTCACTTTGGTGTTGATGAATTTTAGGGATATTGACTTGTTTCTTCTTAATGCAGTATCTTCTGTCTTCTTCAGTTGACAAAACTGTCAGATTATGGAACGTGAATCACGACCATTGCTTGAAAGTTTTCTCACACAGTAATTATGGTGCGCCTTGCTGCATTTCTCTTCTTTTCAAGTTTCTTGAGATGTTATCCTAATTTGTATTTATCATCACAAATTATCTCACAATTTGTTTATGTTTGATAATGTTGTGTAGTGACATGCATACAATTCAATCCTATGGATGATAATTATTTCATTAGTGGATCTATAGATGGAAAAGTGCGCATCTGGGAAATTCCTGATTGTCATGTTGTTGATTGGACTGACATTAAAGATATAGTTACTGCAGTATGTTATCGACCTGATGGGCAGGTAACTTTTCTTTTTTGTTACACCAATTTCAAATTCTATAGAAACAGACTATATAGGAAATTATTTTAGATGATTGTGTTCTGTATACAGGGAGGGATAATTGGCTCCTTGGCTGGCTATTGTCGGTTTTATAATGTATCAGGTATCATCTTTTTCATGGATGTCTTAATATTTTGTTTTCCTCTAGTTAAACCAGTTATGTGTCATTTGGTATATCTAATAATATGATTGCATGGGATTTGGGTTTTGGTTGTTACTGTGTGTGGTTAGTGAATGCTATAATGTGGCTTGGTGGATCTACATCCCGCAAATGCTTTGATTTCTGAATTTGTTTTCGTGAGAAGGGTAATTTTCTGAATGGGTTCAAATGATGGCTATCGTAATTACATCTTTCTAAATTTGTTATACCAGAATTTTAACTTGACCATTAAGACAGTGGCTTTCTTGCACTAATTTTATGAATAATAGATTTCCTGATTGGGCTGGCTTATAAGTATCAATCTACGTAAATATAGTTATTTAGTTAATGTTACACTTGCCATAAAACTGATATTAAAAATTCTTCCGCTCAATTAATTTCACAAACGTTTGATTTTTTCGTGCTATTGAAATATAGTTGTTAATTGACAGGATATTAAGTTTATGTTAATGAAGTAATGATTTTGATGAGGAAATAACAAGATTCTGTCATTTTAATCAAGCTATGATTGGAATGTTATGTCTGCCATTAGCCTTGCTACATCACATAAGACTTGAGCTAGGCTCTTAACTCTGTTGGTTTTCATTTTTGCCTGAACCAGAAAATCGCTTGCAGTTAGATACCCAACTATGCTTAATTGGTAAAAAGAAACTTACTGGCAGAGGGATAACTGGCTTTCAGGTACGGTTTTCACTTTTGCTGCTTTTGCTAAGTGAGTTGTTTTTGGCTTTTTCTCATGTATTTTGTGTTCTTATTTATAAGTTTATTTTTTGTGATAAACTGATTATAAGTTATTGATTTCAGTTTCTTCCACAAGATTCCAACAAAGTTATGGTTACCTGTGCTGATTCAAAAGTCAGAATCCTTGACGGGCTTCATGTGATTGGCAAATACAAAAGTATGTTTTTTTTTTTACTAACTCCTCTAACTTTATTAATAACTTTGTACTCTTCCCAACAGATCTGTACAACTGTGATTCCTATATGATTTAATAGGTTATTTTTCTATTGGATTTGTTCTGGCTTTTTTGTTGGCATGCTTAATTCTGACAACACAGATGTTAGCTTGGAGCTTGATTAGGCTTAATTATTATTCTTATTGTTGGTTTAATAGTCTCTTATTTGGATTTTATGTCATTATACGTTCTGTTACTAAAGTTCTTTATGTTTTGGCTTTAGGCCTTAGCACGGGGAGTCCATTGTGTGCATCCTTTACTTCTGATGGGAAACATATTTTATCAGCATGTAAAGACTCTAATGTATATCTATGGAATATTAGTGAGGAACAGTCTAATCCCATGAAAGCTAGGAAGATTAGGTCTTGCGAGCAGTTTTTCTCAAATGCATCTGTTGCAGTACCTTGGCATGGTTTGAAATCTCTAAATCCTGAAAATGAACATCAATTGGATGTCTTGGATAAAAAATCACCCCAAGTTATACATCTCAATCCACCTACTTCATTCTCTCTGAGTCAAGAGTTTTTCTTGGGGTCTTTTCCTAAGGGATCTGCAACATGGCCTGAGGAAAAACTTCCTATTTCAAGCTCCAAATCTAAAACATCAATGATCCATAAATCTGAATACAAGTTTTTGAAATCTTCTTGTAAGAGTACCTCCTCTGCCCATGCATGGGGTATGGTCATTGTCACTGCAGGTTGGGATGGTAGGATTAAATCATTCCACAATTATGGGTTACCTATACCCGTTTGAAATGAAGTGACTTTTCCTAGGTTGAAGAATGTGGTCAAGATTCATTACTTTTCTTAGACATGTCCTTGGAAAATTTCATGCTCATGGAGATTCAAGAGTGACTTTGGAACAAATCAAGTTGAAGTATAAACCTTAAACGTGCATTTGCAGTTTTGATGAGTCATGACTTTGGCTTTTGGAGGGTCTCCTTTCAAATATCAGGGGATTTATATTGCCCGGTCGAGCTTAACAATTGGTGGCACTATTGTGGTTCTAATGCAACCATGCTGGATATTAGCAAGTGGCCAAGTTTGAGCTTGTCTTGGTACCCTTTCTAAATTGCCTTTTGTTACACAAGAATCTGCTGGCCCCTAAAAGAGATGCAAAGCCATGTGTTAGAACTTGGAAGGGGGCCTATGAGATATTATTTGGATATGTTGTGGGTCTGTGGTACCTGTGTAAACCCTCTTGTTTGCTGAAATGAGAGGAGGAAATTCAAGAGCTGGTGATTGGAGTTCTCTTTGATCAAAATGCTGAAGGCGTTGATGATTTTATTATTGGCAGGACTAACTAAATGAATCTCTTTGTCTGCCAATTTTCTTGTCCATCTCATGGTAGGGCCTCTTATGCCTCACGTTAAAACTTGCAAGTGTGGTGAGGATGTGTGTGGCGGTCATTTCTGTTTGAATAGGTGCTTTTAGCTGCCTGTTGCTCCAATGATACAAACAGTACAAACAACCAATTTATCTGCTTCCATTCTGTTTAGTGGCTCCAAGTTTAGCTCAGTGTCAGAGTCTTTGGCAACTGTTGCAGTGCTGACAATTATTATTACTAACAAACATTCCCAATATAGTCTCAATTTTAGGCTGACATCACCTTTGATTATTTCAGTTACAGCTATCTTATCCTTTCCAATTTGATACAATACTATTTCCATTTTGTTGTTGGCAGATATGTAAATTTGTAACTTGCTTATGTAAGTAAAATTTTGTTGGCTTGGCCTTTGGTTGATCGAAATACTAGTAAACAAAAGTTCTTTGTATGGTCGCTCTTTTTGGTGACTCTTTAGTTTACTCATGATCAGGTTTTATATTGTGCCACACATTTCAATATATAATATATGACTGAAAATAATTTGAGTAGTCATGAGTTAGAATCCATTTGATGTGTTAAATTTATGTACTTGTACCATTTAATATTTTTTTAATTAAATGTGAGATTAATCAATTTAATTGTTGGATTGGAAGTTCTTATTAATTAAAATAATTTTATAATTTTTTAAAAGAAATTAAATAATTTATTATATCATTTCATTTCAACTTTTAAAATATAAATAAATATTCATTGTTAAATAAAATATTTATAAATATTTAAATTATGTAAATTATTAATACATGATTAGAAAGATAGGATAATTTAAATATTGGATTAACTGTTTATATTTTATAAAAAATTATTAAATAGTATGTGCGTTTAAATTTTTTATATATATAAATGAATTTTAACTTTAATTATATATCAAAATTTAAATAAATTGGAACCTTGGTCATTAAGAAAACCTTTTTTTTTTTCCGATATTTTTGGTTAAGGGAGACTCAATCCTTCAAGTGAAAGGGTACAAAAACATCAATGTTAGTCTCTAGCAACACCACGATGAAAGTTGAATTAATATGTCATCTACTTTTGTAAAGGGACTTGAGGGGAATAAATCAAAAAAGTTATAGCCAATTAGATTTCGAAATGACTGATGGGTACCTTTGTTCTTTGTCACAAAACAGTTTAATAAACGCGATGGTTTGTCCTGCGCTCAAAATATAAGGCTTTATGGGGTATTTGATTGCTCACTCATTTGAGGTCTATGCTCACTCAATTCTGTGTTGCTTTCCTTTGTGGCTGGAGAATCAGTACAAGTCCTTTCAAGCAAATGTATCTTTCCAGTTCCCTATTTTCATGCAATGAGTGATCATCTTTAGTTTAATAAGCATTCAAATCACGTAATGACACTAACGTTGTGACTAGCCAAAAAGGAGACTAATGCAAATTTACCTGTACAATTAGATAGCGATTCATGAACATGGGCACATTATGCTGATGCAATATTGCCTCCCACGTATTCTAATACTCGATTCTGTCCTTTCTATAATGCCATTTGCTATTTAAAAAGCAATCCATTTTGTCATTGGAAAAACAGAATATGTGATAGCCACATGAAAGAGTAAACTCATAAAATAGCCCTTAATGTTGCATCGATCATGTATTTTAGTTCTCAAGATTTCAATATTCCTTTTTTAGTCCTCTATATTGTAATTCATCCTTCAATTTTAAATCTTGCCAATTTTGAATTGTTACGTTGACAAATAAGATGAAGATATAAGTTCAACAACATTATATTTCAGTCAGAAAAAGGTGATACTATTTTATTATACTATCGTTTAATTATAGATTATTACATTATTAAAAATTATTGATTTTTGCAATGACTATTTAAAAATAATATACAAAATTATTTCTATTTAATTGAGAGTGTACAAATATTTATACTTACAGGGTATTAAAAATAAACTTAATAACTATACCACTTATTTACCTCTTAGATTGCATGTATTTCTAACTCAATAACAATTGATAACTTAATGTTGAACATAAATTTTAATGATTAAAAGTACACATTCTTTTAATAACACTGATGCATATTCTTATTTTAAGTGATTAAACCCACAGCAGCAGGGCGGTGAAGAATATCATGATAGAAAAGGGCAACTTGCAAAAGGGAAAAATCAGTGAGTGAGAGAGAGAGAGAGAGAGAGAGAGAGAGAGAAAGAGGCATTAAAAACTACTTATATAGGAGCATTATTTGGAAGAATATTTATTTTGTGTCTTGGTTTAACCATTTAAATAACCTATTCAATCAATTATATCAATTTCCTTCAGAAAAATGCCTTTTCTAATGTTGGAACACTCTGTACCGTCCATAGTTGTCCTGAACAATACTTTAAAAAGGGAAAATAGGCACCTAAAACATGATATGCTCGATCATTGAAGAAAAGTGTCTTAAAACATTTACAAAGCAAAACTATGTAGAAGAAACAAAAGATGATCAGTGAAGCTCTATGGAGAACCCATAAAGCATAAATAGGCAAACCAAATCAAAATCACATGGAAGTGAACATTATTATGAGAAAATAATAGACTCTAGAAAGGAATCGAATCAATGACACAACCAGGGAAAACAAGAATAAATGATTAACTTCAAAGGCTTTGTTGCAACATTAATAAACCGGCTTGTATCTTCAAGTTTATGGGCTGGGTATTGGAAATCCTGTTTGTCTAATTTTTTTTAATTTCTTTGTGTGTGACAGTTTAGCCTTTTGAGATTAGGCCAACCAAGCTACTACACAGTGTTACCCACCAAAGAGCATAGGTGCAGAGAATCAAATGCTAAAAGTTGTGTTAATCCATGAGGAAAGGACAAAAAGCATAACTTTGTATTAACTTAGCAGAGGGATATGTTTTGATAAAAATATACACACACCCGACAAAGAAACATGTAACAATAGTCTGCGTTTTCCACACTGTACATCATGATTATAGTTAATTAATTGTTTAATTACTTTTATCAAGTGCTTTGGATTTACTGCGTAGAGTGAGTATGGAAAATGTTGTTTGTATATTTAAAATAAGACAACTTTATGTAATTTTCTTTTATATTTTTAAGTGTAATTTTTAGATACATATATTGAAAAATATATAAATTTATACTATATTTAGAAAAAAAAATTGAAAACTCTTTTAAAAATAGAAAACAAAGATACCAAGTATTTGATTTAGTTATTGTGGGTATTATTCTTAGTTTCTCCTTCACATATATAAATGGAGAAGTCGATATTTTTGACAGGTATTTGGAGTAAGGAAAATTTTTAAGTTATAAAATCATATTGAATTATCTACTCTTCAAAGAAGTTTGAGGTCTAAAAAAGCGTCTTTGCATATTGGAAATGACAATTTTTGAGGAATCACAAAGAGAGTCCTCAATATTCTAAGTCCATAATACGAGAGGCCTTTTGAAGAGTTTTTGGAGGAATTTTGAAGCCCTGACACCCAAAATTACTCAAAAGACAGGAGAGTAGTAAAAAATTATTTCAAGTTCACGAGACTGAAGGTTCTTTCTGAGAAATTTTTTAAGATTTTTCTAGCCCCTGGATTAAGAATAACTAAAATTGCTTGAAACAAGATTGAATGTCTTTTCGAGGAGTTTTTTAAGAGTTTTCCAAAGTCCCTTACACTCATAAAGTGGTCGAAAGAATGACTGACAAAAAACTATTCTAAGACCACAAAATTGGAGGTATTTCAAGGAATTTTTAAAAGAGTTTTCAAGCACCTGACGCCGATAATGTGTCGAAAATAGGAAGTAGTTAAAAAATATTCTAAGTCCACAAACCTGACTGAGTCCCCCCCAGATCACCTCTAGAATTGCTCGAAAAACAAGAATGAGTAGAGAAAATACTCTAAGTCCACAAGGCCAAGACGAGCTCTCAGACCCCAGAATTAGTCGAAAAGAGAAATTAAGGAAAAATTATTCTAAAGCTATAATGCTAAATGAGCCTCTTAGATTTCTCCTAGAACTGCTCGAAAGATAGAAAACAAAAGTCCTGATAGGACTCAAAAGCTATTGCAAGGTTCAAAAGCGGTTACTAATAGATACCAGCAGTTACTACCAGATGAAGGTTCAACAACATGAAGAAAGATCGTGAATGATAACAGTTATAGAAGAAGCTCCAACTGACAACACGATCACAAGCAATCGTGGACAATGAGCATCAGTAGTTGAAGACAGTTTACTAAGAAGTGCCCGTCAAAGAAGGAGAACAGAGATGATCCTCCTGCCTATAAATACTCTAAAGTTTCACTTTCCAGAGGATGAATTTTTGCACCCAGATACCGCACCTAAAAATCTCTGCACATTGAAACCTTGCATCACGCTAGACACAACTACGAGGAGGCTCACGGTGGTCACTATTCATTGTTGTGAAGAGTCGTATATTTATGTTTCTGCACATTTACATTCCTACATTTACTTTTAATTTGCTTTGCTTTCCATTTCTATAATTTTAGTTCCTGTATGATTAAGTTTCTGTAAAAAATCTCTATGGTTAATTCAGTTTTATATATTTATTATTCATCATTCCTACTAAATCGTTAATTTTGCGATATCTATTTGACTGTTACATTAATAACACACTTAACAAAAATTTAAAATGACCTAAATCTAGTCTCCAAATTATTCTTAAATTATTTGTTTACAAACTCTCATTTTTTCCCTTATACAGTAGGATTTACTATGATTGGTAACATCGTATGAATTGGCTCGTAATTCAATGCTACAAAGCACTATCATGTTTCACTAGTCCTTGTCTCGGCATGCTTATGAAATATGATAGAATATTACATTAATATATATTTTTGTTAATTAATTGATTGGTAGAAGAAATATATTTTTATATAAGTTATTTATTAAACTTCGTCATGTACGTTAAAATAATCGGTAACTTAATTAATCCTTCGGTCAACAAAAGAAAAAGAACATAAAATTAGTAAAGCATTCAAAAAAAGATTTGATTTAATTAAGTTTTAATGTATAAATTCATGTAAAAAAAACAAATCATTGAATATTATAAGTCAATATGTTATTTATTTTTGAATTTATCATACTCGATGTAAGTTAAATAAAATATTAAAATTAAATATAAATTTTTTTAAACTTATACTAATATAAAATTATATATATATATATATATATTATTTCTGAGCATGTGTACATTTTTCATTGCTATTCATAAAAAAAAAAAAGGATTAAATTAACTTAATGGACTTAGTTGACTACCATATAATAACTAATTGCAAAACTGATATCCAACAGTTGCTTTCTAATTCTAAAACTTTCCTCAAGATGGAGAGAATACACATAGTTTAAAATATTCTAAAACTATTTCTTAAAAAAATATACATAGTTTAAAAACAATAATATAACATTGTAGGATGTTATGATACTTAATGTTCTTCTTATATTTGCAAATGACTTTGGTGTAACTGTATTTTTGGTCATTTCTTTTAAACTTTTATAGGTGATTTTAATTATTTATATTTATTTTTTTAAACTTTTAAATTAAGTTTTTGATCTTAAGTTTTTTCAATAATGAATAAATATATAATATATCATTGATTATATAAGTTTATAAAAAAATAATTAAACAAAAAAAAATACTTTTATTGTTCTTTATAGATTTTGTTTAATTATATTATATATTTTCTTTATTAACTTATATAAACTAATAATATGTCATTCTTTTATTAATTATTAAAAAATTAAATAAAAAACTTAATTTAAGTAATTGAGAAAGCTAGAGTTATTAAGTGCGAGTAGTTAAAATTATAAGATCAAAATTATATATAACTTAAAGTATAAAAATTAAAGTGAAAAATAAGCTAGTATTTTATAAGTTATAACCAATACCATTTTGCTAAAATGTGTAATCAAGTATGTGTTTTTACTTGGTTTAATTTTTTTTTCATTTGTTTATTGACATTGATTTTTTTAAATTCGACATGTAGAAAAAAATACACTCAAATTGGATAAATTGGTCCTACAAATGTTGTCTTTCCAAAACCAAATAAATACATTGGTCCCTACAAAATTTAACAACATTGCCTTACCTTCCTAATTTCAAGTGTTCGTCTGGCTTTGTAAATCACAATTTCAATTTCTATTATTCAAATTTATATTGTATAATAAATATTTTGTTTTAGAGTAAAGAAGGAGAAAAAATTTATTGTTCACCGAATGTCTAAGGTCAAATTTGAAAAACAAGTTTAAATAATTAGTGCAATAATTGTTATACACAATTAAAAGAAAAGTTGAGACATTAAATTAAGAAAAAATAAAAACATAAAACTTGAGGTAAGTAATGACAATTAATTTTATTTGAATCCATCCTAAATATGCAGTTATAAAACATAGTTTCTTCAATAGAGATAGATGATACTTTTAAAGTGATCTAAATTAATATTAAAACGTGTGACTGACTGAGTATGTGGTATTGATTAAAACGATTTAAATACCATTATACTTTTGAAAAAAAATATTAAATATAAATTATTTTATTTAAAATTTTTAGAAACTTACTTTTTAAATTAATTTTGTATAATCTTGTCCAAACTAATTTCTTCCTTTTGTTTTAAGAATTTTGTCGTGATGTGCAACGCAGAGCTAAGTTTAATCGCTAAATTTTGTAATTCTCTTTGAATTGCTAAATTAATAATTTGTATTACTTTTTGAAGATTTAATTTATTTTAAATAAATTAATATAATCATTAAATTAATGATATTTACTATTTATAAAGATTTATTAAGCAAAATAATTCAAGTTAGGGTCACTTTTAAAGTAATTTGACGTTCTCTCTCTCTGTATATATAAAATTTTAAATTATATATAAATACTATTTTTATTTGTTTTTAAAAATATTTAAATAAAAATATTTTAATTACGGCAAACTAAGTTAGTTAAATTGTGTTAAATTTATTTATATATTTCTAAAACTCACCAATCAAAATATTATATTTTATCTGAAATTTAAAAATATTAAATAATTTTTTTGCTATTAAAAATATTAAATATTTATTCTTTATAAAACTTTATTTTCATATTTTAGACAATTGTTAAACTTTCTAATTTTTGAACATTATTTTTTTATATCAATTATGTCATAAATCTTCAATTATTTAAATAAAAAAACTAAAGATTTTATCTTAAATTATGTTAATAATATTAAATATAAATCATATTTTATTGTATTAATTTTAGTGATTTATTTAAAAAAGACGCAAATATCCTTTAATATAATTTAGAGAAGGTATTCAATATACCTTTAAATTTAAGAGCACAAGCAATTTGTCTTTTTACTAATTTTTTTATTTTCTATCTCTCATGGTAGGAAAATCACTTATGTTAAGGAAAGATAAGAAATAAATTTTATTATAATAATTAAAACATTAAAAGACTAAGTTCGGACAAAAATCATTAAAAAATTTGCATATTAATTTTAGTAAAAAGAACCAAAAAATTGAAATTAATTTTAAATTTAATTATTTTTAATAACATTTTATTTATTTGTTGGCCTCAACCAAAAATCATCTAATTCGACCGCTCTTGATGTGATTTCTTTCACCTTTAGGCACTGACAAATTCACTTATGTGAAGGTTTTCATGTTTGGAGCTTCATTCTCTGCTAATCGTTGAATGCTGGTTGGGTGGTGTATGGGGGGAGTGATGTGAACCAATCATCCATTTTTTAGTGTAAATTGGCTTTATTCTACTGTTAAACTGTTTTATCTGCCCATTGCTTATTTAGGGTATTTTCCAATTATATTAGATTAAGGCAGAGATGTTCTTGTTACATCTCTGCCATTAATCCCTTTTCGCAAATCTATATGCTTCCTTGATTTCTTTAACATGTATACTTTTTAAAACATTTTTTTAACGTATTTTTTAATTATTAATTAAAATTTATTACAAATTATGTAACTTTAATCCAGTAATTTCCACATTTAATTTAATATTTTTATAAAATTTAGTTAAAAATTAAGAATATATTTAAAATATGTTATAAATTGACATGTTAAGCAAGTGTATAAGACAAAATCACGTTAAAATGTTAATCACCTCCCTCTTTAACTAGTAATTGTAACGTTTTGTAGGAAAAATCACTTGTTAACTCACATTTTAAAAGTGGATGGTGAATTAAATAAACAAATATGAGAAAAGTTTAATTTTTTCCACAATTAACATGCGACAATGCAACATAGTAATTAAAAATGTTAAGAGGTAAGAAAAACGACAATGAACATTATTTGATAATGAGTTGATGAGTAATAGTATGACGGTGAGGGTAATAACAACCAATATTCTCTTAAATATAAATATGTTATTTAACACACTAAATCATTATTTTATTATCTATTTTTAAATTAGTTCAATAACTAAGACTAATATAATTAATTATATTTAATATTAAAGACTAATATTATATTTTTAAATTTTAAAAATTAATTATTAAATAAAGGGAGACAAAAGTGAATATTATTTAATAACAATTACTAAAACTAATTAACATGTTAACGAAGTCAAATATGATAAATTGATAAAGAATATTAAAACCAATCGGTTCATTGTTTTCAATTTTAATCAACATTTAGTTTACTTTTCTGCATTAAAACTCGAGAAATATGAAATAATTTGTCAAAATAGAGAAGATAAAATAACGAGCTGGATAAAAATAAAAGTGCAATTTCAAAATTTGTTAGTAATATTAAATATAAATATTATGTTAAAATAAAACTGAAGTTTGAATTAATAAACAATACCTGAGTAGACGAAAATCTTGTCCTAAAAGAAAACGTTCTTTTGGATTTCCATGATTTTACAGCAACACAATTCTCTCCCATGGAAACAAGAATGTAAAAAGAGAGGAGAGAGAATAAGAACAGGAATGAAGGTGGATCTAATTACAAATGGAGATGGGAACTGGGAAGTGTCAGACGGGGAGGTTGACGACGTCGTTGGAACGGGGAGATAAGGAATCGGAAGCGACGAAGAGGTGACCATCATCTTGGTCGTCGGTGGAGAGATTGATGCACGACCATCGCTCCAGAGAGGCGAAGAATGCAGAGGCTAAGTTCATCCCTATCCAACTCGCCATCCCGTTCCAGCATGCTCCCACTCCGTCTCCTTCCATCTCTCTCTCTCCCCAATTTCTTCTCACAACAATTCTCTCCCTGAATTCTTAAACGCACATCCAAATTAACCCACACGCTAACATATAAATTAACTATTTTATTTCCATTACCACGCTATTTTTTCGGATCATTTTCTCCACCCTTATTCATCGCCCCTCCTCTTTCTTTCTTACAAATACCCTTCAAATTTTACATATACATCCCCAAAATCCCGCGTTGTTATCTAATAATCTAATAAGAATTTCATTTCTGTTAATTCAACACTAAACTTTTATTAAATTAATTTACTAAAATCATTAATTTATATAATAATTAATATAATTTTTCTAACACGATCCACATCACACATGATAATAATCTATATATAATGTGTATTTATTAAATTTATAATATTGAATAATATTAATATATTAAATTGTCTTCAATTTTATATTTTTTTAATGAAAAACTACTTTAATGTTACATTGGTTAAAAAAATAATCAATATAAAAATTATATATTTTAATTGATGGATAATATAAAAATGTTTATTTGAATAATAGATTAAATTCATTAAATATATAATTCTAATAATTAATTAATCAAATTATGATAAACAGGCATGCATATTATTAAATAAAACATAGAGTAAAACAATATTACTTCATTGTCATATACTTTTTAATATAAAATTATAAATTGATGAAGTAAAATGTTTAAAGCCAAATAATGATACATAGAGGGGTCACGCGCTGGATACTTTATTTGTATTGGGCATAATTAACAAGAAAGTTAAATTAATCTGATGTTTGGCTTATGATAATTATACAACTACAGTTAATTTAAGAAAAGTTTATCAGTTGTAAGTTTATTTAAAATTAATAAAGAGGTCGGGAAAAAAACAAGCAGTGGTGTAGTGCCACGTGTGATGACATGTAACATATTTATCCACAGATAAGCGAAGGTGGAGTGGTCTGGAACTGGAAGCTCTAAACTGAAGAGACAAGAATGGCCAACGTTTCAATTCCACTCCCAAGAAACGCTTTCTCAATTCCCAATTGCTCAACCAAACGCCCTTCTTTCACCCCTTCTCCTTCAACTCTCAGAATTTCTTGCTCTGGTTCAGCTCTCACTCTTTCTTTTTCTTATGTTGTATGATTCTTAGTACTTTGCTTCCAACATGTCAATGTGTTATGTAAAATCCAGGGAATGAGTGAAGACCCTTTACCCCTCTTAATCTTCGTATAAAAAAGTTTGATTGTGAAATTTGTTTTGTTAATATAAATATTAGTGTGACCTATGTTTTTGGTAGGAGTAGCTGAGTTAGATGGATCTCAAAATAAGGGAATCAAGGGCATGGCCTGTGGTATTCTTGCAGCTATCACTGTTACTTCTGCTACATTTCCCCTTATGGCTGCTACTCAGGTTTAAACTAAAGCTTAATCTTTACCAGTGATGACAAAACTATCATTCTCTGTGCATTTGCTAGGAAAGTGGGAATCTTATTTTTTTTCCAGATATTTTGATAAGTCCAATAAAAAATTTAATAGATTGCTAGGTCATTGGGGTTCCCTGACTTTCTTGTAGTCATGTAAACTGCATATTCAGACAAATTTCCTCATATTCAAGTTAAGCTCTCGCATTGCTGTCGGAGGCCAATTTCCACAGTCTTTAGGTCTATACTCAATAAGGAAATTTCATTTTCTGAGAGATTAGCAATCAAAAAATGAAGGAGATCACTTAACGTGTTTGTTTCTTAATTAGAGTAATGAAGCCGGTTACATGAGCATGATAGTTACTGAACTCATTAGGTGCTTTGTGGATGAAGTAGCAATTAGGCCCTAGAAACAGATTTTGCTATGAAGATATCAACTAGGGTTAGAAGAGATGAAATGATTGCTCTCTCTATGTATCTTTTAATTCTTTCCATGCTTACATGATATAGACAATCTGTTGTTACAGCAGCTATAGTTGTGATAGTTATTGTAGTTAAGTAGTGAAAGAAGTTAGTTAGAAGGGATCCGTGAGGTAAATAAATAGGATGAAGATGTTGAGGAAAGGGCATTTAGATTTGTTGTCATGTGTAAACTGAGTTTTTGCTTTTTGTGAAGGGAAAACTCTTGGAAAAGGAGTTCTCTCCTATTTTCTGTTTTCTCCATTCAATTTAATAAAATCTTTCTTTTCTTTTCCATTTCTATTCTTGGCTTCATAACAAAATGCAACAAATATGTTCAAATTACAACACTCGGGTTTTGACATGTTAGCACACTTGAGGTAAACCACTACCGAGTTTGGAGTCATGTTTTCCTCAATAAGATATTGGGGTTTGACTAGGAAGCTTATTAGAAGTTTGGTTAAATTTAGTCTGTCTTCAGAAACATTTCTTTCATCGTGTAGTTCCAATAGTCTTGTGGATAAATCCTAAGAGCCTCAGATGGATGTCCGTCACAACTTTGCAGATATAACCATACATTATTATTATTATTATTATTATATTCTACATATTAAAGGTTCAAATTATTCTGTTTTAGTATCGTTAACATATCATATCAGTTATAAATGTTACTGTGAGTATAAATTTGTGAAAGACAAACACAAATGTTGTCCTTGCAGAGACTTCCCCCATTGTCAACTGAACCCAATCGGTGCGAGCGTGCATTTATTGGCAACACAATTGGTCAGGCAAATGGTGTATATGACAAACCATTAGATCTCCGGCTTTGTGATTTCACAAATGAAAAATCCAACTTGAAGGGGAAATCCCTCTCTGCAGCACTCATGTCAGATGCTAAGTTTGATGGTGCTGACATGACAGAAGTTGTGATGTCAAAGGCTTATGCTGTTGGCGCCAGCTTTAAAGGTAACATTTTTTACTTGTGCAATTGTGCAAAACCAACTTAATGTTAGCTTAGTTTGTCGCTTTGTCAACCTTCATAGATGATCAAATATCATGTTTTTGAACAAATTTTTTTTTCCTGGTGAACTTATTATATTTATGAAGAGTTTTTGAGAGCGATCTATTAAGCGTGAATAGTGAAAGATATAAAATCACCTTGATATTATCCATCTTTCCCAAAACTGGATATACCGATTTGTTTAAAAGATGTTTTAATAATTATCATGGAGCTCATGACAACATGTGCCTTAAAAATAGTTTATGAACAACCTGTAGAAATAACTTGTAATTCTCGTAAGCTCTTTTTAACTTATTTTGATTAAGCTTCTTGGTATGATTTATCAGACCAAACACTTTTTATTTTATCGCAACAAGTTTCAAGATGAAATTTATAGCATAAGTTCCTATGTAAAAGGAACTTAATTAACATGTGTGTAACTAAATTCTCCAGGAATATGGTGAGCTTGGGGATATTTTATAGAATTAAGTTCCAAAAATTATATGTCAAACATGCAAGTTGTGATTCATCCTATTTACCACATAAACAAGATGATGATCCAAGGATATTTTACAGGGGTGGACTTCTCAAATGCAGTCTTGGACCGTGTGAACTTTGGGAAAGCTGATCTTGAAGGAGCCGTATTTAGGAACACAGTATTGTCGGGCTCCACGTTTGATGATGCTAAGCTGGACAATGCAGTTTTTGAGGACACTATCATTGGCTACATTGATCTCCAGAAGCTATGCACAAACAAGACAATCGGTGCTGAAGGGAGGGCTGAACTTGGATGTCGATAAAAGGCATAGAGACTTCATAGTTTTCTATTTCTTGTGTGCTGCTATGCAAAACATGACACATATTTTGGTGAGGGTAGCCTGTAGATGAATGCTACATCCGAAAGTAAATTTAATTCTTTGCTTTTCCTGTATAATGTTGTATAACTTGTATTATTCCTTATGATTTTAATTCAGTTATTGAAGACTTTGGTATGATTAATAATTGTACTTGTAATTTTTGCATTGTTGAGTTGATGCTTCACAACTTTGTTAACTTTTCAGTTTTAGCCACAAACTCAGTAGTTGAAACCAAATAAGCGTGTATTTGGTACTGCATTCAGTCACCAAAAAATACACGTTAATTCATATGCTATTGAGAGTAGCCTTCACATATGTTCTCTTGTGAACGTAGTTCTAAACATGCACTAACTTTATTTTGTACTATTACTAATATCAAGTTAAAAAATCACCTTGGGACACATAATTCATAACCAAATCACAAATTTTTATTTAAAAGAACATAGTTTACGGTGTGTATTCATGATTCCATTTGTTAAATTAATTTTGTGACATGATATGATAGCTAAGCGCATCTGGTGTAGTGGTATCATAGTACCCTCCCACGGTACTGACCGGGGTTCGATTCCCCGGATGCGCAACGTAAATTAAATAAGGAGAATATATTTAAATTTTATCTTAAATAAAATTTGTATCTTATTTTTGCAGTGTTTAGGATTTTTATTGCGTAATCATAATGTTACCCCCAATGTAAAGTAGATTCGCGAGATCATTTTAGACATGTCACATCTATCTTTTTTATTCAGTTATTTTGTTTGTCACTAACAATAAAAACAAAATATGGGCATAATAATTTTTTTATATGTAAATACTTTCTTTGTCAATATAAATATAATTATAACAAAAAAAGATATATAATTAAACAACATTACTATATATATATATATATATATAGGCTGTTTTTATATAGGGTATTCATATTCAATAATACAAAAAATATGGTTTTTTTTATTTATTACATGAATATGGGATCTTATCAAATCTCGCCAATGGTGTTTTTTAAGTCAAAAATCTCAAACATATAAAAACTCGCCAATAATGACATTTTAAAAAATATATTATATATTTATATAATCATCAGTGGCAACATTTATGATTTAAAAAAATATATAAATTGTTATTAGCAAGTTTTAAATATTTAAAAGGTACATAAAATTATCAGTGACGACTTTTGAGAGTCTAAAAGTATATAAAAAATCACCATTGACAACTTTTAAATGATATTAAATAATTAAAAAAAATTAAAAATCGTCAAGGACGACTTTATGATAATTGCCTATAAATACCGAGTTCTTCATTCTTTGTAAGTTGCAAGAGTAAGATTTTAGATAGAGAGTAAGCGAAGAGAAAATATCTTAGATAGAAAAAGTGAGTTTATCATTGAAAAAAAAAATGAGTGTATTTTTATTGATTTACTTTAACGGTGAGATTATTACAAATACTTGTGAAGGTGTGTTATTCAGGTGTGAAAGACTAACATGTGTATATATCAGAAAGAATGTATCATTTGAAGAACTTCAGCATTGGCTTACTAAAAATATTATATTTGAGTTTCCAAAGGCAGTGGAAAGTATTGTTTATAGGTGTTCATTATTAATATTTGGAGGTTTCGTACAATATCAAACACTTCCAATAACGAATGATGCTAATGTTTTACAAATGTTTTAAATACATCAACAGCATCATCCGCCAACTCTTGCCATTAAGTTATATGTTTTTTTCAAAGATATTGCAATTAATATTGATGAAGAAGATGCTGATGAAACATATGCAAGCAATGTACCAAAGAGAGATATAGAATGGATAAATGTTAACAATGAAAGTGTTGACTCTGATTCTGAAGGAGAATATGAAAGCAGTGAGTTGAGTGAAGATGAAGATATGGATGACGATGGTCATGATGAGATCCATTTGTCAAACATAGTGATTGGCCAACATCTATTTGGAGAGCCACTTTTCATGCGTTCATTAAATCTTGATGCTATGCACGCAACTGAGTTTTCAGAGTATGCAAATTTAGGTATATCTTATTTTTAAAAATGTTGTTGATGAATTAAATTATAGTTTTTTAATTTGTTATATTTGTGTTTGCATTTCATAGATTTTTCTGATGTAGATGGAGACTTGTATGTTGGAAAGCAATTTAATGATAGAGAGATTATTATACGAACAATTAAGTATTATAGTATAGTAAATGGAGTGGACTACAAAGTGGTTGAGTCAGAACCAAATACATTTTATTTTAAATGTGTGAGGTATGGAATAGATTGTGGATGGCTTCATCGTGCTAGTTTTAGAAGGAACGAGTTTATTTGGGAGATCAGAAGGTATAACAGTCCGCACACATGTACAAGAGGAAGGATTTCTCAGGATCATACTAAATCAGATTCAGACACAATTGCAGAATGTATAAAGTCAACGGTTGAGTCTAATTCTTCCTTTAAGATAAAACTCGTTATTAGTGAAATTCAGTCTCGATATGACTATACAACAACATATCGGAAAGCATGGGTGGGAAAACAAAAGGCAATTGAAAAATTTTATGGACAATGGGAAGCCTCATTTGAAGCCTTATCGCAATGGTGTTTAGCGATATGTGACAATATTCGAGGTTCCGTTGTTCAGTTAGATGCTGTCAATGCCTATCGTGCGGATGAGTTAGTTTCCAATGTTAAAATATTTTGTCGAGTGTTCTGGACTTTTAGTCCTTGTATTAGAGCATTTAGACACTGCAAACCATTTGTGCAAGTTGATGGGATACATTTATATGGAAAATACAAGCTCTGTTAGTGGCTGTTGCACAAGATAGTAATCAGAATATTTTGTCAATTGCTTTTACTATTGTTGAGGGGGAGACTTTAGATGCCTGGTTCTTTTTCCTTGATCATTTACGCAGACACGTTGTCACACAAGATGATGTTGGTATAATTTCAGATCGACACGAGTCAATTAATGCAGCACTAAGAAGAAGCAATGGAGAGTGAGAACCACCGAGAGCCTTTCACATGTATTGTATTCGGCATATTGCAGCAAATTTTTTACGAAGATTCAAGGCTCCATACTTGCATAAACTTGTCGTTCGCATGGGTATGTATCACGATGTTGATGTATTTTAAATAAAAATGTTATATGAATTAATATATATTTTAAATTAACTAATATGAATCGTGTCAATTTTTGCAGGTTATTCAAGAACTGAACGCGAATTCCATATTCATTATGACAAATTACGGGAACGTAGGGAGGTATACTCTAACTGGGTTGATGAAATTTTTTGAGAGAAGTGAGTTCTAGCATTTGACAGAGGGCATAGGTGGGGCCACATGACCACAAATCTAGTTGAGTGCATTAATCCAGTGTTAAAAGGTGCTCGAAATCTTCTAATCACATAACTATTAAGAGCAACTTACTTTCGATTGACTGAGTTATTTGCTCGTAAAGGGAATGAAGCATATGCACGGAGAAAGGCTAGACATATTTTCTCTGAATACGTGACAACTCGATTACAATCAAATGAGTTAGGTGCAAGAAACTTGCATGTAACTCAATTTGATAGACGATCTGAGAGTTTTGGTGTTCAAGAGTTATCAAATAGCCAAGAATATAGAGTTGATCTTAGACGAAGATACTGTGACTGTGGTGATATTCATACTGATAGATATCCATGTCGTCACGTAATTGCTGCATGTTGTAGTAAAAACATTGATTGGCGTGGCTATGTTGATAATGTCTACACAATCAAGGAAGTTTGCAAGGTTTATAAGAAGGAGTTTGCAGCAATTGGGAAAGAAAGCACATGGCGTCATTATAGAGGACCAAAACTCTGTCCTAATCCCAGCTTAAAGCGCACAGTTAAAGGTCATTCCAAATCAACTCGCTTTCTTAATGAAATGAATATGCATGAAATGAGAAGACCAAAATGATGTAGTCTTTGTCGAGTAGAAAACCATAGTCGAAGGCAATGTCCTCATGCTCCATGACCAAGTTCATGATGTGTAGTTGTGATAATAAATTGTGTTGAACCACCTATTTTGATGTAATTGTTTTTAATTTCATGGTGTTTGTAGTTGTTCAAAATATTTACTTATGTCTTGTTATGTCTTGTGATATTATAATAAATGTCGTTGTTTGAGTTAGTAATTTTTTTGTTCTTATTATATTTTAATTTCATGGATTAATTAAAATTTAAATTAATAACAATTATAATAAATATAACCAAACAAATTAAAATAACTGATTAAAAATCCCATTACATAACGACGTGAACTAATCAAATAAAATAAAACAACAGATAACAACATGACTCTTACATTACATAATAAAGTAATCAAACAATAACTTCATGACTATCCTCATTTGCCCTTTTTCTTCTTGATTAGTGACGCACTATATCTATCAGGAGGTTGAACAAAGGGACGTAACAGACGTGAAAAAAATCCCCTACGTCTTCCTCCTGTATCTACATCATCACCCACACCCTGCTTTTCCTCCTGCTCATGCTCTTAATCCTGCCTCTGTTCCTCTTCATGACCAGATGTTTGACTAAATGTGCTATCTTGTTGTGTAACATCACATGACATTAATGGCAAAGACCATTCATCACCTAGTGAGAATATTCCTTGAGATACAACTTCATACTTTGCTGTCATTGTACTGGTCGATACACATATTGTAATTTATTATATTTACTAACATAATTATCTCAAATGTTCTAAAATTTATATTGAAAAAAATTGATAACACTTTAATATGAATTACAATATGTTAATAAATGACAAAAAAAAATTTTAATATAAATTAATTTAGTACAAATTTAATTATTTCTGATTTTAAAAAAATTTCTTTTTCAAACTTTTCTATTTTTTATATTAAATATTTTCAATTATTACTTAACATTATTTTCTTTCCCAGATTTATTTATCAACATAAATACAATAATAACAATTAATTATAATACCATAAATGTATATTTAGCAACCTAATTTTTACTTACTAATTATTACATTACCATAAATAATTATAATAAATTTGTAATCAAATTTAAATTTTAATTAAAATATAAAAATTTAAAACACTTACATTCAAATTATGGATGTTTTCTGAAATATGTTGACTTGAATCACATGTACTATCTCAAACCATCTTTCAAATTTTTTTTTTCTAAATTTAAGTATTTTTCACTCAAATATTCTTTCATTCACTCATAACACTCCTTCAAAATGCTCATAAGGGTTGGAGTCATGTGATCTCACTTTTTGGCTGCCCCTCTGATCTGAAGAAGCCTAACCATGGACTTCGTGAGTGGCTAAGAATGGAATCCAATAAAATCTCACTTCTTTCTGCCTATACTAATCTTCCTTGGGCATTCTATTTCCCCTTGCGTACTAGACATTCTTGTCCAAAACAAAGAAGACGTGGACCCAAAAGACTTTGTTGGCAATCCTTATTATATGTTATAAAAACATAAAAGTCTTCCTGCTCGCTCCCTTTTAACACGATTGGAAAGGTCACTGTAAGGCGTAGATAGCTTCCTTTCTTATTCTTCGCTCAGATAAGGAATAAATATGCTCCCTCTGGCCTTTATATTCTAACTCCCACAATGCTCCTTCTTTTTCTTTCGTTTTTTCTCCGTCACCATGTCTTCTCTTGCTACACCAGAGTGGGATTTATATTCGTTTAATTGCTTTGGTTGACAAGCATGGTAAGCAATAGTGTATGGTGGCAGATTTCTAATGGGTCAAGCATTGTCAATCTCGTTTAATTGCTTTAGCTGACAAGCATGGTAAGCAATAGTGCATGGTGGCAGATTTCTGATGGTTCAAACATCGCCAATGACAATTTTTCAAAGATTCATTGCAGTGTTCAACGACTGCTTCACATGGATACGGTGCTTCCTGGTCAAACATCGCCAGTGGCAATTTTTCAGATGTCCATGTCATTCAGTCTCCAGATTGCAGGTTTTTGTTTGAGTTCTACAAATATTTCGCCAATGGCCATTTTTAAAACACAATATTCACGTAAATTCGCTAAAAACATCATATTTTATGTATATTATTTATATTTTACCACATTTAAATTATTTTACCTATGTATGTATCTCATAGATTATATTACATTTGGTGAGATTTATTTGTCCAGTAAATTAACGATAATTTAGTTATAGCATAAAAAATTTAAAATTAAATCCACAAGAAAAAATGTTTTATACTCTTGAAAGAAACAAAATTATAATTATTTTTATCTGGTTTTATATAGGCAAATAAATTTAAACTATTCTCTTGTTATTTTATAAATAAATATTAAAATTAATATACTTATTATTTAAAAAATATAAAATGTATTTAAATTTTTAATTAATGATTTAAAATATATAACACAATAAAAGATAAAAAAAATAAATGGTAAAATATGTGTTTAGTTATTGAAAATTCATTTTTAGTTTTTATAATTTTTTCTATTTTAATTCTTAATTAATATAAATCGTCAAAATTATTTCTACTGTTATTCAATCTTTGTTAATAATTGACGTGACTTATAAAACTTTACAACATTTTACTATTTAAAAAGTTAAATTTATTTTTAAACTCTAAAATTATCAGAATTTACTTTTTTCCCCACCAATTCTAACTTCACTCTCTTATTTATTCCAAAGATAGATTAAGTAAAATTATTTTGCTTCTCTATTTGCTGCTATTTGACTTAAATATTAATCTTTTCTCTCTCTTGTAAATAATAATTATAAAATTATGTGTATGTGATTTGAATTTAAGTAATAGTGTTTTTGTTGAAAAAGTTAAAGACTATAGCAAGAATAATAAATATAAGGTTGAGAGTTACAACTATTTTTAACATTGTGAAGTCAAAAATTGTTTGGAGAGAAATAATACAACATAAGAACTACGATGAACACGAAAATAAACATGATAGTAAGCATTAATAAAGAGAGCATGTGTAAGTCAATGATATCATGAAGTGGAAAGGGATTGAAACAAATTGTTGATAAAATTTTAGTTTAGAATCATCTTTTAGCCTCTTATTTACTTTTTCAAAAGCGTATACTATGTACAACCATGAATAAAAGATTGATAGAAATGGAAAAATAGATTATGCTGACAAATTAAATCAAAACTTCTAAGAACATGTATAAAATCAAAATAATTATTTTTTTAGGACTTAAAAAACAATTTTTGACAATTTTACGGGTATTAAAAACAAAATTAACTTTGATAATGTAAAATTTTTTTAGTCACATTAATAGTCAGTGAAGATTAAATAATGGTGGAGACCATTTTTAATTATTTTATATTAACTAATAATTAAAAATATAAAAACAAAAATAAATTTTAATAATTTTATTAAAACTAAAAACATATTTTTATCTAAAATTAAAATTATAAAAATTGGAAACAAAGTCCATTCAACAACGTGGTCCATCTCACAGCAGAAGGCAAAAATTCCAAAGATTCTTTTTCTTTTCGTGTACACTTTAACCCTTTGAATCACGATCGTCGGTGGCCAACTCTTTAATCACTCAAAACTCGTGACACGTGTCGTTATTTAAATGTGGTTCTGCAAAACCACAGGTTATTCTTGAAGCACCTGATAACTGCTCCAGACCCCCCCTCTCTCTCTCTCTCTCCCATTGCAATGCATGGTTTCTTTCTGAAAATTCCTTCGCAATGTTCCTCAATTTCTTCGTCAACCCCATTAGTCTTTCACTCCCTCACTGGAACCACATGTTAGGGTTTTAGCTTAAATTCATAATCCAAAAAAATCCCCAAAAATCTAAACAATCTTGAGTTTCTAGGGTTTCAACGTCGACCATGGCCGAGTGGCAGTCCCTCTTGCAATCCATTTTCCTTGGTGTCATTTTCTCTTACCTTGTTGCCAAGCTCATCTCCATCGTCGTTTCGTTCAAAGACGACAACCTCACCATCACTCGCACAGCCACTGCAGAACCCGATGATGCCAAACACGACGACGCCGTTTCCGATGCCACGCGTCCCTTCGAGGCCGAGTCGGTCATGGCTGAGCAAGGTAGCGTCAGGAACGAAAGCGTGGACGGTGGCGACGACGACGACGACGACGACTGGGAAGGAGTGGAAACCACCGAATTAGACGAAGCGTTCAGCGCCGCCACCGCTTTCGTCGCCGCCGCCGCCGCCGATCGCCTCTCGCAGAAGGTGTCCAGTGACGTGCAGCTCCAGCTTTATGGCTTGTACAAGATTGCCACCGAAGGTCCTTGTAGCACGCCACAACCTTCGCCGCTCAAAATGACCGCTAGAGCCAAGTGGTAGTGTTCACTTTTCTTGTACACATTGTTTGCTTCTTTGCTTTCTTTAGAGTTGTTTTGTTGTGATACTGTAGAGAGAAAGAGAAAGAAAAGGGGAAGAGCTTCAAGTGTACCCAATGTGTTTTAGAGGAAGGTTAATAGTATTTATTTTAGGGTATTTTGTGCTTTTAAATTGCAAATAGCAATGATTGAAATGTGGGATTTGCGATTATTGAGTTTATTTTGGATGTATTTGTAATTCGTACTGTTAAAAATGATTCTTATACTGCAACAGTGAGTCCTCTTCGTCGTCGTCGTCGTCTTCTTGGTTTTTCTTTGTATTTAGGTGTTGGTTACATTGAAATGTTTAATTTTGAAGCTTTATGATGTGAGGTATATCTTATGTGCAACTGCTGACTATTGCATGCAACCGGTCAAATAAGGTTCTTTTGTTGCTGATCTCCTGCCCCCTCTCTTCTGTAGGCAAGCGTGGCAAAAATTGGGTGCTATGCCTCCTGAAGATGCAATGCAGAAATACATTGACATTGTGACAGAGTTATATCCTACTTGGCTTGATGGTTCATCTTTGGTGAGTTAATAAGCTGTTTATTGTGCTCTGGAAGGATGAACCGCTACTTCTTTCATCAAAAGGAAGAAAAATTTTAGTTTAAATGAAAGTAGTATGTTTAGTTTTTAGTTACATTTTTTTTTGTTTATTTTCACATTGCTCTCCTTAACTCCCAGTGTTTCTTCAACAGAGGAATAAAAGTGGTGAAGGTGGTGGTCCTAGTTCAGAGGCTAGAGGAGCAATGGGACCAGTATTCAGCACTTTCGTTTATGAAGAGGAATATGGCAGTGACTCGTAAGATTCCTAAAACTAAAATTGTATGAGGATGTATCTAGATGGCAATATGTCACTAATTTGTTCTTTATGTGTGATGCTAAATTTAATTACATTTATGTTTCCTTTATGACTCTGTCTTATAATTAGAATTATGGGTATCTTGAAAGGGTAATGCTAATTGTTTTTGCTTCTTTACCTATTTGTTTTGGCCCTATAAAATTTCTCTCACTATTAGGGAGTAAGAGTAATAGGCTTCCTCTCCCCTCCTTTAATTGTGTTTATGTTGAAAAGATCTTTTTTGAAGGCTCTGAATTGATCTTGGGCAATTTGCACCTCTCATCTTATGTCTTTTTTATTCTATAATTTTGTTATCTGTAATTTAATATTGATTAAAAAAAAAAAAGAAACCAGACTGCTTTCTGGTAATGTGAATTTACATTTTGCTTCTTTTCCTGAGACCGTTTGGTTCCTAGGCTTCTGTTTCTTTATCATTTCTTCAACTAAAATTGGTTTTTAGTTGTTTGCCCCAACCCTTCTCAAAAGGGAATAACTGCTTACGATTGTTTCTCTTTGATTTGTTAACTATGTTTTATTATATTCTAGGATTTGCTCAAAGTGTTGAGATGAGAGGCCTGGTCAATTTAAAATGTAATGAATTATATGGATATTATGCCATTGATTGGCATAGTTACCAATGTATACCTCCTAGAAGAGTCACCTCTGTCTGAGGATATATCAAACTTTGGACTTGTATGGTTTAGATACTTTGTTTTCTATAACTAATTAACACAATTACTTTGCATGGACGAGAGAGAATTTATCTACCTATGAGTCATGATTAATAATTGGGAAGTTTAACATTTACTTTTATTTTGTAACAATCATTTCTCACAAAATGGAAGTAGCATATGGTTTTGGAATCCTTGTGTAATACAATTTTGTTTTTGTGTGGATGGAACAAGGATTGAACTTAATAAAGTATTCCTATATTGACAATATTGAAGTTTCTAAGCATTTTGATAGCATAGAATGTTGGAAGGGTTTCTATTGCACTAGTAGAAAACCTTTTCAAGTGTTTATTTTTAATTTGTCTGCTTTTCATGTCTCATGTCCTCTTTCTTGTACATCACCTTACCTTTACCCTCATGTTCAATTCTCACCTAATACTAAGCTCCTTAAGCCATTGACATTTTAGAAGAGGATTTTACAAGCTGATCATAAGGCTTTTCTAAGTTATAAATTATCAAACTAGCATACTAAATATCAATGATATTTTATGATGAATAACAACATTTGAACAACAATAAAACTTAGAGAAGTAAACTTCATCTTCAAAAGGGTACAGTTCCTGGAAATAACTAAATAAGGAGACATTGATGTTTCATTTTCTTCCTTTACAGGCAAATGGAAGCCATTCATGGATTTGCCAGAGAAGGAGATATGGCCAATCTGCTTAAGTGTATTGAAAATGGTGTTTCAGTGAATTTGAAGGGTGAGTTATTTATATACATTTCCTTTTCCAAGTGTATACATTATTCTTGAGTGTGCTGTGAATTGTTAGTATTTTCTTTTATTGCTTGGGAATGAACCAAGCTCCTTTTAACAGCTTATGCTCAGCATTAAGAAGTAGAATTGCTGATTGAGTAAGACAACATCTGCCTGAATTTTAGTAGCATTGCATGACAAGCCTAACATTAGTATATGCATCTTCACTTTTTTTAAAACCTATGGCAGGTGCTATGTTTTTGTGGAGAGTTATGACCCAAAAGTGTAGCTGTGATCAATAAAGTTTCCTCCTTTGCATTTTGAACATCTGAAAAATAATCATGCAGTCCAGCAACATAAGACACAAAATATATATTGTTCCAATCACAAAGTATTTAACACAATTCAAAACATTTTCAAGATTAGTCTCCTAAAACTGCAAAATGCCCAAAATTTCAAAATAAAGCCAAGAGGGACAAATGCAGGCCTATCAGAGAAACAATCTACTAGGAAGGACTTGTTACTCCTCGTAGGTTGCAACTTGGTTGCCTGATAATCTGAATGAAATAAGAGAGGGATGAGTCACATAGATTGAGGGAGGGTAAAATAATCAGAATGAACTAGGAGGGGTTGCACCTGAGAGAACCAAAATATGAGTTTGGCTTTACCTTAAATGGTGACCTTTTTGCTAGGGGCAGCTCTATCTTACAATGAAATCTTTCTTCTCTTAACTGTAGTCACTAGTCATATCATATTACATCATCTCATATTACCAGGGTAGCTCCATTTATTGATAGTCTTCTTTGTGCATAGACAACTTCATCTAATAGGTAACCGTCACATACACTAGTGACTTCATCTAATAGATAGTCATTTCCCCTTGGATATATAACCTGCTATATCCAGGTCATTACCCTCGCAAATAGCTATGAGATTCTAACATGGATCTCAAAAAATACAGACCACTAAAATATTCCCATAGTTACCAAATCCATTTCAAATGATGAAAATCTCAATCTCATATTTTTTAAATTCAACATCATAACAAAATTTTATTCATAATTATCCAAATTATTACTCTTTTCGAAGCTCACAAATATAATCATGTCATTAAACCAAAAAATCCTTAATGCGGTAATTTTTGAGTGATCAAATGAAATACAAAAGTTTGTTTCCCTTAGTAAAGAATAATAAAACCAATAAATAACAAAGTAATTAAAATAGTAGTTATAAGAATATTAAAACATGTCACCATGATCATTATTCACTTATAAAAACTCAATTTAATCACTTTCCAAAGGACTCCATGACAGCTAGATGGTATTTCTACAAATCTAAAGTCCAATAAATATTTACCTAAGCTTAGAAAACTATCTAAGGATAAAATCTTTAGATTAAAATACACCTATAAAATGAAAATATGCTAAAAAAATTTTCCCTCAAATTGTTGGGTTGCGAGTATACCTATGAGCTAAACTAAGTAATTTCCAATGAAGTGGGTAGCATTTCTTTCTCCTTAGACTGCCATTCCTAAAACTAGAAAAGTGTAGGTGAGACTCTAAATTTTCTTTGAAATTTTAGAATGATGTGTGGAGTTGAGAGAAATTGGAGCAAGATGGAAACGAAAGAATGAAATAAAATGAGAGGAAGGTGGATTGTAAGAGAAGTATATATAATCATACTATAATTGCTTTTTGCTTTTGTAACATGCTCCTTAGAAATTGATTTTGTAAAAAAGCAACCGTTTGAGATAAAATTATATATGAAAATAGAAGTTGAATGGCCATTTTGGATTGAGAGAATAAATATTGGGAAATTCTTAATTATTTTATCTGTACAGAATAGAGCAATATTGTTCATAACATGATATTGCGATGTAAGGAAAAATGTTTTTTGACTGCCAATGATTCCTAAAAAGATCCCTAGTGCTCTTATAGTGATTGATATTGCTGTCTCATGCCAGTGTGGGTTGTCAATTTAATATTTGCTTTTGACTAGCATTATTATTTGTGCTTTTCTCTATTAATATGCACTTTTGAAATGAATGCAGACAGTGAGGGCCGGACACCATTACACTGGGCTGTGGATCGTGGCCACCTTAATGTCACAGAGTTGCTTGTTGGCAAGAATGCTGATGTAAATGCAAAGGTATTCATCCATCTATGTTTTCGAATTTGGCTCTTCTAAAATGAAATGTGTAATGTGAGAAAGCAAAGGTCTATGTACTGTTAATTTGAATTAAATATCTCATAAAGGAGCTAAATCAATGGTGAATATACTCTTATTTTTTCACTTTACTCCATCTTCTTTAAAAGGAGCTAAATCTTTTGTTATTGTCATGTGCTATCTATATTGTTTAATTGGCATTGCAATAACTCTTCAGAATGAGAACAGACCAGAACCTTAATTGAATTTTGAACAAGGCATTATTCCTTAATGAGAAGTTGCATAGTCTTAAAATTTAACTTTGGCTTTTGGAGATGGTTTCGTGCATATATTTTTACTTATTGATATTAATGTCTAATTAGCCACTTTTTTAATATATATTGTTTTCTTCTTTGTAAGGATAATGACGGACAAACTCCATTGCATTATGCTGCTACTTGTGAGAGAGAAGCCATAGCTGAGTATTTAGTGAAGCATAATGCAGACATACATTCAAAGGATAATGATGGGAGTTCCCCGCGTGACATCTGTGAGTCAAACTGGCCGTGTTTGCAGCATGTTGGGGAAGTAAATTGATTGTTTGCTTGTTGCTACTTTTGGCCAATATAACCCTTAGCCAAATCCCTTCAAGGATGTACTTGTCTATATGACTCAATTTTTTTGCCCTTACTCTTGGTGTATACACCCTTTTCAGTGTAGTGTACGCCTATGCACCGTTTAGGTAATGGTAAATCAAGTATATTACTTTATTATTGTTTCCTCTGCTCAACTCTTAATTTTGGCCCTCGTTTCTTTATATTTAATGGATAAAAAAATACAGGGAAACTAGAAACAGTGAAAAGGAAAGGGAATAATCAAATGATATCCTTCCCCTCCCAACGCTTTCTCCCCTTTATAACCCCATATCTATAGAATTTACAGGGTTTAGGTGCGCAAGTGGTGTAAAGATGGGAATCCGAGTTGCTGGGAAATCATTGATTTGTCATGCTGTCGCAAGTATGTGGAACCTGGTGTCTTGTTTTGCCTTGCTTTCTTTTTCCTCGTGTCTATTTTCATTTTCAAGAAAATAATAGTTTAAAGAATTTTTTTATAGCAAATTTTTATTAAAAATATTTTTAACAAGTTAATTCAGGCACGTACATATACTTGATGAGGGGAGAAAAGTTAATTATATAAGTTTGATTACGCAGTTCGTAAATGCGTTATTAACGTGTTCTCGTTTAGGAACGATTATTCCAGTTTGCTTAAATATTTGGAAGGTGTATTAGAAGTGGACAGAATATAATATATTTTTTTTTCTGTTTATACATTTTATAAATAGAATAGAGCATGGCATGTATTTAGAACAATATATTTTAATTTTATGAAACAATATGTGGAATTAAAGGTAAAGAAACAAAGAAAAACGCTTTTTTAATATATTTTGGGTGCATATATCAAACGTTATCTTGATGTCGAGGTTAGTCTTTGTTGGAAGAGTAATGTTTTCACATTAATTTAAGCATAACGGTCAGAATCAAAGAAATGTTAATATTGTGAACAAAATCAACCGACCACGTTCCTGAATCATCTCTCACTACTCCATCACACCCTGAAGAACCATCCTAAAATATCGAACCATTCACATAGGGAGAAAACTCCAACCAACGCTAAAAACCCTATGAACAGGTAACTACTTATGAACCTCCATAAACACAGAATTATGAGGCAGTTAAATTTCAAAATTCTTAGCTTTAAAAGTAGGGTTTTGTGGGCTGGAGATAAACAGCTAATAATAATAAAATTTTAATTAAAAAAATATTTATTATACTTTTATAATTTCAATACAATAATTGTATAATTTTTTTTTATTTGTAGACTTATACTCAATTTTAAAAGTTGAGGTTAATAAAATTATTAAAAGTAATAGAGCTGTAATCAAAATTTTTTGATTGAAAAACTACTAGCTTCAATCATTATTTCACACAAGTGAGTATAGCTATTTCATACAATTGTAAATAAAATATTAAATAACAATATAATAATATATCAATTTTTATTGGATTATATCTTGAAGTGTTAGTATTACACATATTTTAGAATACTATTAAAATATCTTCTTAAAACTTAATTAGACTTATTATATATTTGTTGCATGTTTGGTTTTGTTTAATTCCTAGGGAAAATAGTATATATATGTTTTTTAAAAATTCTCTTGAAAAGATTATAATCATAAAATATTTTGTATCAAAATTAATGTTGTTGTACATAATTCTTGTTGATGGTCCACTTATAAACGGAAAAATGAAATTGAGGTCGTTGATGAGGGTCAACAAATTTGTGGAACGAGAATAATAGTCGTTGATATGGTTGACTTCTTCTCCCATAAATAATTGAAATAGTTATATACCTAATTGGGTTTCCATCAATTATGGTTATGGATGACACCAAAAACTAAAAATCAACAATTTTATTCAATTCAAACGCGGGCCCGTCGCCCGGGCAAAAGACACCGCCTTTACGCGCTGTACACAGCACACTCTAACTCTAATCCATTATTAATCTCCAAATCATTATTATATTAATAAATCTTATCTTAATAATAAATAATCATTTTGTTTTTTTAATTAGCGTGTGCTTTTATAATAACATTTATTATTATTATTATTATTATTTTATTATTAAAATTAATTCGAATCCAGCTCTTGTGATTGTAACCGCTGTTGCTTCCTCTTCATCTTCTTCTTCTTCTTCTTCTTCACTATTCTCTGACTCTTTCACTCACTCTCCTTTGTTTCGTTCCCTCAGATCTCTTCTCCGATTACAGGTAATTTTGTTAATCCGATCTCGCTTTTTTCCTTTTTTGTCCGATTCGATTTTTCTATTATTAATTTTGATTTTGAATTTTCGTTTGGGCGTTTTAGGATTTCGTTACCTTTTGTCTCAATCATACTAGGGTTCATCGATTCGATTGTTTCGTTGCTTGTTTGAATTGTGATTGATTTGAATTTTTTTTATTGACTCGGATTCGATCTGTGGTTCTGTCTCATCAGTTTGAGTCTAGAACTTCTCACTCGGATATTTGGGTGAGATTCGACGCAAGCAATTGCCGAAGTCAACTGGACTTGTGACCATAACATATGTGTTCCATATGCACTTGATTACTGATTTAATTGGTTTTCTGGTTACATGTTAACAGGATATCAAATAAATTAATAAATAAAGGGCTTCTAAACTAGGTGTCTCATTTCCACTAATCAAAAAATATATGGCGCCTGTACTGCTGCTTTAAGAAATTTAATTTAAATGTAGGTTTTTGCAGGCCTTTCTTTTCAGGCTGTGTTCCAGAGTTACATGATTTTATAATGATTTATTTTACTGCTTGGTATAATATTATTGCTATTGTATGGATTGTCAACTTGCTGATCATTTAGTTGATTTCTGGATCTGGATTGGGATTTGCTTCTTTAGTGGACTTGTTGCATCCCCCTCCCTCACCTCCCCCTTTCTCTTTTACAACTTTTCATTCTTGATCGGAAAAGAGCTGGTTGTTTTGTGCCATTAGGTGTAATAGCATGTCAATGGAAGTAACGCAGGTGCTTTTGAATGCTCAATCAATCGATGGGACTGTAAGGAAGCATGCTGAAGATAGTCTGCGACAATTTCAGGAGCAAAACCTTCCTGGATTCTTGGTCTCTCTTTCTGGGGAGCTAGCAAGTGAAGATAAACCAGTTGATAGCCGAAAATTGGCAGGTTTGATACTCAAGAATGCTTTGGATGCCAAGGATGAAAACAGAAAGCGGGAATTGGTCCAAAGATGGTTGTCACTGGATCCTGTGGCAAAGACCCAAATTAAGTCATGCTTGTTGCAAACACTGTCGTCTCTTGTACCTGATGCTCGGTCTACATCAACACAAGTTATTGCTAAAATTGCTGGAATTGAGCTTCCTCAAAAACAGTGGCCTGAGCTGATAGGGTCACTTTTATCAAATATTCATCAAGTACCTACTCATGTCAAGCAAGCAACTTTGGAAACTCTGGGGTATCTGTGTGAAGAAGTATCTCCTCAGGTTGTTGATCAAGACCAAGTAAATAAAATACTTACTGCTGTAGTTCAGGGTATGAATGGGTCTGAAGGGAATAATGATGTTAGGCTTGCTGCTACTAGGGCATTATATAATGCTCTTGGGTTTGCTCAGGCTAATTTTAGCAATGATATGGAGCGTGATTATATCATGAGAGTTGTTTGTGAGACAACTATGTCCCCCGAAGTGAAAATAAGACAGGCAGCTTTTGAATGTTTGGTCTCAATTGCAGCCATGTATTATGAGAAATTGGCTCCTTATATCCAGGACATATATAACATTACTGCAAAGGCTGTTAGGGGTGATGAGGAACCTGTTGCTCTTCAAGCCATTGAATTTTGGAGTACAATTTGTGATGAGGAGACTGATATCTTGGAAGAATATGTGGGTGATTCCAGTGGAGACTCTGAAATACCTTGTTTTTATTTTATTAAGCAAGCTCTTCCTGCACTTATACCTCTGCTGTTGGAAACATTACTCAAACAAGAAGAGGATCAGGATCTGGACGAAGGTGCATGGAATATTGCAATGGCAGGTGGTACGTGCCTTGGTTTAGTTGCTCGTACTGTTGGAGATGATATTGTGCCACTGGTAATGCCCTTCATTGAGGAGAATATTACAAAACCGGATTGGAGACAAAGGGAGGCAGCCTCTTATGCTTTTGGATCTATTTTGGAGGGGCCTTCCCCAGACAAATTAGCTCCTCTTGTTAATCATGCATTACCATTTATGCTTAGTGCTTTAGTGAAGGACCCAAACAACCATGTGAAAGACACCACTGCTTGGACTTTGGGACGGATGTTTGAATTTCTTCACAGTTCAATTGTAGGTACACCCATTATTAATGAAGGAAATTGCCAACAGATTATTACAGTTCTCCTTCAGAGCATGAAGGATGTTCCAAATGTTGCTGAGAAGGCTTGTGGTGCTCTGTATTTTCTTGCCCAGGGTTATGAGGATGTTGGACCAGCATCTCCTCTAACTCCCTTTTTCCAGGAAATTGTTCAATCCCTTCTCACGGTTACCCACAGAGAGGATGCTACAGAATCACGCTTGAGAACTGCGGCATATGAAACATTGAATGAAGTAGTAAGGTGTTCAACAGATGAAACAGCTCCTTTGGTGTTACAACTAGTTTCTGTCATCATGATGGAGCTGCACAAATGTCTTGAAGCACAAAATCTTTCATCTGAAGAAAGAGAAAAGCAGAGTGAATTGATAGGTCTTCTTTGTGGGTGCTTGCAAGTAATTATTCAGAAGTTAGGATCTTCAGAACCTACCAAATATGTCTTCTTGCAGTATTCTGATCAGATAATGGGACTATTCTTCAGGGTCTTTGCTTGTAGAAATGCCACTGCACATGAGGAGGCCATGCTAGCCATTGGAGCCCTTGCCTATGTGATTGGCCCTGATTTTGCCAAGTACATGCCTGAATTTTACCCGTTTCTGGAGATGGGCCTTCAGAATTTTGAGGAGTACCAAGTATGTGCTGTGACTGTTGGTGTTGTAGGGGACATATGCAGGGCATTGGAGGATAAAATACTGCCTTACTGCGATGGGATTATGACACAACTTCTCAAGAATTTGTCTAGTGATAATTTGCACCGCTCTGTAAAGCCCCCGTTATTTTCATGCATTGGTGATATAGCTCTTGCAATAGGAGATAACTTCAATAAATACTTAATGTATGCTATGAACACACTACAGCTTGCTGCAGAGATGTATGCCCATACATCAGGTTTTGATGATGAAATGACT